TTCCCTTTGGACTAAGTCTCTTACTATTTAGATAAAAAATGAAGGGCTGGAAGGAAAAGCCCTCTAATTAATATATTAAATATATTTCTCATCAGACAAGTGTCACTTAGAAAAATAGTAATTGGAATAGTGATTAGAAAAATAAAAGAGACTGAGCCATTTCATATTTAAGTAGGTGAAACAGGCTATACCATCTGTCCATGCTTTCAATCTTTCCTCAAACATTTATTTAGCTTCTGCCTATTGTGTGCCAGTCAAAATGATCAATGTTAGGGATCAAAGATAAATAAAATACAGGTACTTTCTCTGCCTTATGACCTCCAAACTGGTATGTGTGTGCTTGAGGGAGGTGGGGGGGTGTCCAATCTTTTTTCCCACATGATTTGCCTAAGTTGGTCTCAAAATGACTTGATTGTCCTTTTTTATCTCACGTTATGCATTTAGTCATCATATATTTCTTTGTTTTTTGTTAAATCCCTTTTTAAATGGAGGGTATTAACCAATTAATTTATATGTGAAGTTGTTAAAAATTTTTCTTTTGGAAAAGCAGTTTTTTCTAACAGACTTTATTTTTTTTACAGCTATTTTAGGCTCACAGCAAAATTAAACAGAAGGTACAGAGATTTTTCATATATCCTCTGCCACCCTACATATGCGGCTTTCCCCATAGCAACATCCCTCACCAGAGTGGCACATTTGTTACAGTTGATGAATGAACATTTTTGCATGATATCAACCAAAGTCCATGGTTGACATTAGGGTTTAGTCTGTATGTTGTGCATTCAGTGGGTTTGGACAAGTGTGTAATGGTGTGTATCCACCATGAGGATAGATTTTCATCAAGGGAAGAAAGTTTGTGGATCCTGATATCTTAAGGAGTCAAATAACCCAGTGGTCAGGCCGGCCTGGTAGTGCATGGGAGAGTGCGCTGCTTGGGAGCGCGGCGGCGCTCCCGCTGAGGGTTCGGATCCCATGTAGAGACCGGTTCCCGCTCACTGGCTGAGTGAGGTGTGGGCGCAGCACCGAGGGTTGCGATCCCGTTGCCGGTCCCCAGTACGGGCACGACACTGAGGGTTGCGATCCCGTTACCGGTCAGTAAAAAAGGAAAAAAATAAATAAATAAATAAAAAATAACCTAGTGGTCAAGAAGGGCAATAAAAAAGAATTAAAGAAAAATGGCAAAGAGAAGGAAAAATGAGCAAAAAAGGCAGGAAAAGGACAGAGAACAGATGAGGCAGAGAAAGGGAGGAGGAAAAAGTTACTGAAAACTAACTTCACTTGCTTTAATTACTGACGGAAGTGTCATGGAATAATCCTAGGAAAATTTACTGTGGATCTGGCCCAGGAAACTGTGAAGGCACCATGTACCCACTTGAATGGCAAACATCAGCTGGAAACCATTTGTGGAGATAAACATGCTGCAGGCCTTGTAAAGGAAACTTTAAAATATTTGTATCAAAAATATAATATGAGAATGTGAATATTATTTAGAGTAGCACCAAAATAATGCAGAAGTAGTTAGGCCTAAACTTTTTTCTTGTTTTCTTTTAAGTTTTCTAGTTTTATTTTGTTTTGCGAACGGTTTATTGAACAGTGAGATACCCAAAAAGCACAAATAAGTGCACAGCTTGATGAATTTTTGTAAAGTGAACATACTGTGTGACTAGTACCCAGAGCAAGAACAAGAAAATTATCAGCAGCTACAAGCCAATCTTAAGCCCTCTTATATACACTACTCCTCCCAGTTAAACGTAATTTGCCTTCAAACATGATAGATTCATTTTTGAACTACATATAAATTGAATTATACAGTCTGTGTTATTTTGTATTCTGACTTCTTTTTCCCAGTGTTAGGACTGTGATATCCATCCACGTTGTCGCAGAGATAAAATCTGTACATTCTCAGTGTTATTCTCAGTGTTAACATTTGTTCATTCCCAGTATTTTATTTTATGCATATACCACAGACTATTTAACCATTCTGCTAATGATCAAAGCTTATATTTTTAATATCTGCTATTAGTCATAGTAAAAAAAAAAAACCTTATTTTTATTTTTCACAAGTACATTTTTAGAATAGATTTATATGAGCAAAAATATTATAACATACATATTGGTCCTTAATTAGATTAATTTTTAATAGGCTATGTTCAGGAGGGTAAGTTGAGAAAAAGCCTTTTTGTCCCAACACACACACAGGTTGAGTGAAAGAAAAGGGGTAGGTTGGGACTATACATTAAACAAACAATGTTGGAAGAAAGGTAGGGTTGTCAAGCCATGTTTGAAACCAACTGAGTTAAGCCCATTTTGTGGAAAATTAACTATGACTGACACCACTTTCTCCAAAACACAAGTATATGGAAATTAATAACAACATTTATGAAATGTATGGGCTTATAATAAAATTATTTTATTAACGAATAATAAAGAACTCCTTATTCTCAGCTGAAGAAACTTTCTTAAACATGTGGAAGGAATGAAGCAGTTGGTGTCATTAGTTTGTTCTATATTTCTGTATATATCTATGTGTGTGTACGCATGCACACATATTCACAAACACAAATATACACAGGCTGAAAAGCAAGTTGTTTATAAAACCTACCTTCAGAGGTTCTACTGACAAATGACTAAGTCATACACCTACCCCTTTTCTTTATTTAACTGAAAAAAAAGGTCTATTTTTGCAAAATACCTGTAACATACAATTAATTCATGAAAGTGAATTTACACAGGTTTCCTGTACAGAAGTGAGCATTTTACTGACCTAAGAGATCTGATCCCAGTTTTTACTTGGTGATGGACTCTGTCTTGTAGTGCCATAGGAATAAAGTCTCTGATTGGTGACTAATTACCCCCTATGGGCGGGACATTTACTGTTCTACTATACACAAACACCACTAATGTTCTAGCTTAGCCTGGTACAGTTTTCCTAGAGCTCAGGGGACCTAACTGTCCAAAGCAAAGTTGAAAATTTGCTTACCCTCCACTTTGTTGCAATGAATCTGTATTTAATGTGTGTCCCAGTGATGTCAAATTTAGCTGCCTATACAGCTTGAAATGAACAGAATTTACCAATTCTCCACTTCATTTTTTGACTTTGTGTGGGGGGGGGGTGTATGTGTGTGGTTTAAGCACAAATTTTATCATTACAGACACAGACATTACTAAGTCCATTAATAAAATCAAATGTTTGTCTCTTACCTTCTTTTTCTAAGGATTTATGGTTGGAATGAAATAAGACATATTTTATTAGGAGATCAAATAAATTTTTTATAGTATTTCAGTGGAGAGACACTATCAATGTATATCCCTCCCATCGTATTCTGACTAAATAACTCATTTGGTATAAAAGGAAAAGGACTTAGCTATTTTTAAAATAATATCTATGCATTCTTAAATTAAGTTTATTTTGGCCACAGTGATTATTGTTTCCTCTTGGAGAGAAATTAATTGGAACTAAGTTAATGAAAGAATTCACTCCTGAATATGTATCATGTTTTATATAAAACATTGCCCCAATTCTTCAATTACTTTGACATGTATTGATAGTATTATAGAAAAATATGCTTTTGCCAGTTTCCAGAACTAAATGAATGAAGGAGGAAGCTGAACATGAAATTGGGAGAATTTTTTCTACTCTCCTTAGGACACTAAGATGGGGGAGAGGAGAAACCACTATTCTTTCCAATGACATAAAAAAAATGATATCATTTCTACTTGAGCACTACTGAGCTTGTCTAAATCTGGGCATTGGTCACAGAGTCTGGAAGGGGGATGTGGTTATTGTGGAATTAGTCTCTGAGGACCAAATGCTTTCCCACATTTCACTAGTCCCTATGTCTAACCTTGTGTGTGAGCTGAATAATATTATTTATTAAGTAATGAGGACTTTTTCACTCATTCTTTGGAAATCCAGACATTTACTCAGAGATCTCATATTCTGATTAGAGGATACATAACAAAATCACATAGACTTTATTATCAAGATAATTCAAGCTATATAAAACTTTTCCCTGATAACTCCAGATAACTGAGGCAATATGATTTAAAATATTCCTTCAGTCTTATGAATCTTCTGCTAGTCTACACTTCACTTGGAAAACATCAATGCATCCATGGGGAGGGCGAGATTGTCACCTCTGCTTCTTCAATCTCAGCTGCTGCTCTTTGCTAACATGATCCAAGAAGAAGCCTGCCAATGAGTTGGGAATCCACATTTCCTGTTTGGATTTGTGTTCTGAAGGCTGTGGTCACCAGGAAAAAAAAAATCAGTCACTAATTGTTCCAGTTACTATAGTTGCATCATAAAATTAACCCCAAACTGACTCAAATCAATCATTTTATTATCCTCACAAAATTTAGACAAGAAAGAGCAGAAATGGCTTGTCCCTGATCCATAACGTCTAGGAGTACCTGGGAAAACCAAGAGGTTGGGGATATGTTGAAGGCTAAGAACTGAAGTGATCTCATACGTACGGCACATGGGTTGAGAAACTGGGGCTGCAGCCAAGAGCACTGACGTATGTGGCTTCTTTATATGATTTGGGTTCTTCCCAGTATGGTTGCTTCAGGGTAGTTAGAGTATTTACTTGGTAACTCAGGTCTCCATTCAAAGCTATTTAAGTGAAAAGATGAGAAACTGCATTGCCTTTATGACCTAGTCTTATAAGTCACATAGCATCATTTCACCATATTTTATCTGGCAAGTAGGCAGGAGCCCACCCAAAATCATTTAAAACTGCCAGGGTCATCTAAAGATAGTAGTAAATGTCAAAGACATTTTTTTCCGTGTATTCATATGCATAAAATAAGCTTTTCTTTGTAATATTTCTTGTAGAAGTTGCTACATATGTCTTTTCAAGACATCAAGAGAAGCTAGACTAAAACTACTTTTCAGGTTATATTAGCTTATGACAAAACTACTATTTGAAAATTTTAAAATTTATGCAATGGTTTTACTCTAAACCAAGAAAGTCTAGCCTACCTGTTTTGACTGAACAGCAAGTTGTTGACTGAATTACACACCAAGTTCACTGAATTATTACACAAAGTTCACTGATTCATTTTGTATTTTCACAGTTGAGCAAAAGGCTTTCTTTTTTTCAATCCGTATTTTCTGTCATGCTTGAAACTTACTTCTTCTAAAACCAAAGGAAATTACATGTGTTTACAGCCAAACATTTTTGAAAATCCCCAAGACTAGCCAGTTATTACTCAATTCAACATATTCTTCTACTTGGACATATCAATCAAAATTAGTTAACTGCTCAAAAAATAAAATAAATAAATAAAAGACAAAAGTAAAAGTTTACATATTAAAATGTCTACTCACTATTTATGTATCATTTAATATTATATTAATTTATAACCAAGTCTCAATAAGCAAATTACAGCATACAAGAGTACTTCCAAAAGTTTGGGAAAAATGGAGTTAAAAGACAATACAAATATTTTCATGAACTTTTTTAAGATCCCCTCATATACACATCTGTGAGAAAATCATAGCAAGCTTTCCTTGAGTTCCTGTGTTACTGGATCTACATGGAGATAACATACTAATCTTAATGGATATCACAATCCTGGAGGTTCCACTATTTCTTAAGGCTCAGTGTAACCTCATGCCACAGAATGGTTAGATTAGATTTCAGAGATTTTTTTCCAGAAATGCCACACTGATAAACATCTGAAATTTCAACACAGCTGTTCTGAGTGATTTCCTTATTGCTATAATCACATTGAGAAATAAAAATTAAAGTAAAATATTTGGAACACATTTTCTCTCCCATTTAATAGCCTATTTGAGTATGTGTGAAGTTGGGATGAGTCAAGGGAAGTGGAAGAGGAGTCTTTTTTTTAATTATTGCCACTACATGTTTTTGTGCTTTCATGGAGGGCTTTCTGATCTTTGTCTTTAATTTTCTTTGGAGTCTGATGATTGGCATATCCTCATGTGTGTCTTAGAAGAGAATTTATTTTGAAAGCCTAAGTAGCTTTGCCTACTTGAAGAAAACAAATAGTTGAAGTAATTATTCAGGTTATTCAGACCCCGATTTACCTTCATCTTCATTTTTAAAATGTCAGGTATTTTATTCCACTTTAGCAGCATGTTTTACTGATGAACTAATTTAAAGGATAAAAAAGACGGTATTTAAACATTCCAATATCTGCTTTTAAACTAGGCTAACCTACTCTTTCATTCTTTCTTCTACTCCCCTCTAGTATGTTTCTGGTCCCCTAAAAGCCTCTCACTGCTACTACAGAAGACATCTCCTGTTGAGGAAAAGATATCAGCATTATTATCAAAACATAGGAATCTATCTACCAGATAGTGAATGTGATAACTTCCAGAGAACCTTCCTTAACTATAACACAGCAATAAAACTAGTGCTTACTCCATAGGGTATTAATAAAATCAAATAACACAGTATGTTTCACACACTTTGTAAACAGAAAGGGGTCATAAAGTGTACATTAATTTAAAGTCCCAGGCTTAAAAATGACTGGTATACAGAAAATGTGAGTTTATTAATAAGGCTACTGCAGGTGGCATTCATACCGGAAAGCTAGAATAAGTGATGAAGCATTTTCCCATGCATTTGTTCATTAACTCGATATGCCATGAGAAAGAATAACAAGGGGAGTTTAGATTAGGTTGGGGAGCAAGCTGAGATTTGAAGGATGATAAATGTTAATATGCTGATAATATGGGGAAGAGCATGTGTGAATAATCTTAGCCTCAAAAAAACATGGTGCATTTAATAGACTCAAAGAAGACCCACATAGCTGGAGGAAAATGAGCAAGGCGAAGAAAGATTCAAAATGAGGCTGGAAGACAGGGCAAGGTATAGGCCACTCAGGGTCCGGTAACCGGAGTTGGAAAGACTTGGAAAATCTTTAAAGGCTCCAGGATGAAAATTGATGTGACAGTATGTACACATGTAAAAGATCACTTTGGATGCTGTGCGGGGAATTGATTGGACAGGGAAGCCTACTGCAGCAGTCAGAAGAGGGGAGAGATAGCCTTGCACTGCGGTGGTAGGAATGAAATGGTAAGACGTGAGCTGACTGCAGAAACAGGTTAGACAGCACTGATGACATGGACTTGATGATGGATTAGATGCATGAGGGTACGTCAACAAGTTCATGGAAACTAGAATTGAAAGACAATACAAATCTTTCAACACACTTTTTGAAGTACCCTTGTATGAGGGTAAGCATGAGTAAAATAGCGAGGATCAGTCCTAGTCTCCTAGATGAAGCAATGGGTATGTATAGTAATATTTTGTGAGATGAGGAAGCCTGGAAGTGGATCATATCCTGGATGGGAAATCAACAGTTTACTATGTTAGCTTTAGCATAATAATAATGGAAACAATAGTTAACATGCATTAAACATATCTTAAATGGTATCTGGCATTGTACCATATGCACATGATTTAGGTACTAAAATTACCTCCATTTTTCAGATGAGGAAACAGAGGTTCAGATGAGGTAAGCAAGATACCCAAAGTCACACACCTGTAATTGATGAACCTGGATCTGAAGCTAGGCAGTCTGGCTTGCGTCACCACGTGTAACACCGCACTCTCTAACTCTCAGTTTAACAACTCTAGTGGAGGTTACTGTAATGCAGGTTAGCATGTGGAGCCTAGATTTTAATTTTGGTTCTTATACATGCTGCAGTGTGACCTTGATCCAGGCACTTTTCAGTCTTAAGTCTCTATGTTTTCACCTTTGAGATGAAGAAAATTACAATTACAGGGTTGCTATTAGGATTAAGTGAGACAAAACATGTAGCTGGCTTATTTCTCTCCACAAGAAATAATTAATTAATATGCCATAAATATAATATGTACATGTAACAGACTTGTTGGTGCCCTACTCAGATACGTGAATTTCTTTTACAAGCTGATAAGGACATATACTTACAGCCTTCCATGAAGGGTTACCCATGGCTTTGATTAAAGAAGGATGAGGGTTACAAGCCCTCATCTGGGGCAGCCAGGGCATGATGACTGGTACAGGGGTATAAAAGTCACACCTACTTGCTCTGAGGCAGTGTCACAAACTCTGCAATGCCATGTACACTCCAGAGTTTCCTGCAGGGTCACCTGAAATCTTTGCTTAGCTTTTCCCTGTTCCTTATTTTTCTTCATTTACTCTCTTATAAGTTTCTCTGGCAAACACTCCTGTAATAAATCACCTACATAGGAAACATTGTCACAGGCTCTGCTTCTGGGGAAACCAACCAAAGATAATGCCTCTGAAGCATGGACAAAAGTGTCTGGGGAGATTTGGGGGAAATCAGCAGATAATACATTTTAAAGCTACAAGGATAGATAAGATAGGCTAAGGAAGTATGTGAGAAGAGGGAAAGAATATACCAAGACTAAACTTTGAATTCTCCCTAAAGGTAGAGGTTGGGAAGAGAAAATGGACAAGGTAAAGAACACTGAGAAGGAAAGTCCAGCAAATTAAGAAGCAAGTCAGGTAAGCAGGTATCATAGAACACACATGTAAAAAGGACAATCTAGAAGTAAGCAACTGGTCATGCAGAACCCCAGACTTACAGAGAATGCTAAGGTGTACCAAGAGTCCAAAGAGATGACTTTGCAAGTAGAGGCTGGCCTGCCACAACTCATAGGTGCTGAAAGTAGACAGTGATCAGAACAAAACAGTTTATTACTCACAGCACAGCACACTGCAGTAGAAGCTTCAGCATGGTAGTGCCACGTCACCTGCCCCCAAATCCTATGGGGAGATTCAATGTGCCCAGAAAACAGCTACACATGCAGTAGGTTGTACCCCGGGTGAGGAATGCAGGGCCAAGGGCTCAGCACCTTTTGTATCAAGCAGTAAACAAGCCAGCAGATACATGTTAGTCATGCTGGGGTCACCCTGACTTATTAAATTGCTTCCATGGATAGCTACAGAAATGGCTCGGGGCAGGAGGAAAATTTGATCTTACAGTTTGGCAGACTCAGCAAAGATGTGTGGGGACAATGGTGGCCCCTAGCAGATAGACTGTCCCTACTGGATCAGCTATACTAGACTCAGCGATGACAAGTAAAGTAGAAGCACCTCTCAGTGATTTATAACAAACACTAATAACTAGCTGGAGTCCCCTGCCTAGGAACTAAAATTGAAAAGATGGTAGGCTTAGCTAATTTAATAGTAACAAATATGAATCATCAAATCAACAAATGCTAAATGTCCTTTTTTTAACTTTATAATATTTTTGCTCTTAAAGTAAAGGTAACATTCGTACCTTCCTCCTGTTCTGGGCCCAAAATGTGTTACAATAATTTTCTTCCTTAAACACCTCAGGTATTAGAATGATTTTTGGCTTTAAAGTTAAGGTATGTAAAATACAGACAATGCTGAGAGCTAACAGAAGTGTCCAAGCCCAGCAAGCATTTCAATGGCAGATGTGAAACTAGATCACATCTATCTTTAAATAGCTACCATCACGCAGGCCACTCTTCCCTACAAGGGAATCTTTAGTTGACTCATGGGGATTGTCTTCAAGTCATGTCAGCATTGCTCAAGCTTTAAAGCTCTTTTCAACTTTGAGCTGGAAAATAGCTCATACAAGAAACCCTTGATTTTACTATTTGGGACACCCTCTCTTCAGAGTGTGCTCGCAGAGGCTCTGGCTCCAGAGGTGGGAATTAAGGGACCTCATTAGATGAAGTCCACATCACAGAAGGTATTTAGAAAATGATTAGGAGGAATTAGCAATAGACTGTACCCTGTCCTTTTTTTCTCATTCCTCACCCCCTATTTTTTCTCTGGCAATTTCTCTTGTTTCCCTACACTGCTCCTGCCTTGTGTTTCTCTCCCGATCACAGTGTTCCATCCTCTCTGTGATTTCCCTGATGATGCAGGCATGGCTCAGAGGAAATTGCTGAAAAATCCAATCCTCCCTTCATTTCATGAATTCAATCTCTTCACCAGCACAGAGATTTTTGTAAAAAAAAAATAAGATGCTTCCTAGAGTGCTTTATGAGACAATTAAATATCAGCTTGTCTTTCCGAATCCACCTTCTGTTAGAGGCAAAATAAAAGAGTCTGTCCACAGTCACAGAGACATAATATGCATGTGGAGATGGCAAAGGAAGGACAAGATCCTGACAAGCTCAGATCCAGACGTGGATGTCCATTGAAACGAAGAGCTTTTACGGTGTTTCAGGAAGGGGAGAAATGAAGCATGAAGTTGGTAACCTGCTCCTTGGTCCCAAGCAATCAGTGGCTGTTGACATCAACAGCTGTGAGAGGAGTCGGAAGCCAGAGGTTGCCAGGGAGAAATAGCACCTAGTTATAGAAGTATGTCACTGGGGGTGATGTGATCATAAACAAGATTGCAACAAGAGCAGAAGAGTGTTCTCTCTGCAAGGGGTTGTAAGGCTGAGAGAGAGAAGCATTATGCCTAATAGTTTGTTAATGGTAAAGTAATAAAATATTAGCTCTGATTTTTCACCAAACCATGAACTCCTCCAAGGTATAAGGGTGAATCTTCCTCGTTGTACTGTTCCTTGCAAGTATCATCACATAGATGACCCCAAATAAATGTATGTGGAAAGAAATAACGAACCTTTTCTTATTCTGGGATTCTTTGTGTAGGGCAGTTAACAGTCAGAAAAGAGTTGGCTTTGCTGCCTGGTTATATTAAATTGTATTGTATTTTAATATCCATTCCTTCTAGCCTCATAGTCTTTGAATGTACATTGAAATGTATGTAGAAATCAGAAAAGGTAACTCTGTGTGTGTGTGTGTGTGTGTGTGTGTGTGTGTGTGTGTGTGTGTGTGTGTGTGAGAGAGAGAGAGAGAGAGAGAGAGAGAGAGAGAGAGGGAGAGAGAGAAATGATGGATATTTAGGAGGAGTCTTTTTGGAAAAGAAAAGTGCAAACAAGGGCTAGGAAGGGTTGTAACATGTGGCTAGATGCAGGATTTGCATAGGAGGGAGACATTTTTTTACCAGAATTGTAGGGCAGATGGAGAAATGGGGAAGTATGGGTGGTTGCTGGCTAGAAAAGATATTAAAGCTTGAATAAGGCAAGTCTCCACAAAAAGAGCTGTTGGAGTTTGTTCTGGCCCCTCTGCAGGTGGTTTTATACTGCAGGTAGGATATGTATTTGTCTCTAAAAGGAGAGAACAGGGATGTAGTCACCTAGAAAAAAGTAGTTCAGTCTTCAATTGTACCTGCTGCTCATAACCTCCACATATTTTCAGTGAAGTGAGTAAAATAATGTTGTGTCTCTTGTGACTTCATTTATTTTAATGGTCATCAAGGGGCAATGTTTTGCACCCAAGCCAGAACAGGGGACAAATGTAAAAGAAGGTGGCCTAAAGATTGTAGCTTCAAAAGAATCATGGGAAGACACACACTTGCTAAATTTTAAAAATTGAGGGTTTGAGCAAGATTATCTGATGACCGAGGACAAGAAAATTCTCTCATAATATCTGGGTAACACATGTACACAACATCTCCCCTGTCTTAGCTATGTAATATCCAGTCGATTTGCCCACCCTTAATATCCTAAATAAAATATAATAGTAAATATAGTTTGTAGATTAATATTCAAGATTATTTCTTAAATGTGTTTTGAAGCTTTTTTGTTATTACTAATTCATACACGGAACCGCAGTCTTTATGATGTAGAAAATTCTGAAAATATTTTTATGGATAACCTGACCTTGGCCCCATGCTTCTTTCATTCGTTGACTTTAACCAGAATAACCATTCTGATTTTAAAACAAAAATGTTTCATTAGAAGATCTGGTTGGTTATGTTGACACATCAATGCTTTCTAATTTATCTTTGTTTAGAAAGCTGAATTTTAAGTTCTAATAGTTGAAAAATGCTTTAATAACAAGTGGGATATCCTGTAAGTAGTTTATTCACCGTGCCTAATAATTTTCACTATTTTTATGCAAGTTACAGAGAGACAAAGAGAAACACCCTGCAGGCATCAGAAACAAATAAGACTTAAGTTTTAACTATTGAAAAAAATACAAAACAAAACAAAACAAAAACCCTGTATGCCAATGGAATATAGTAATGAAAGAAGTATTACCCTCTCCAGCCTCCCTCAATGCCATAATTGTATTCTAATGGTCACAGGCATTTAAATTACCTACAGTTTGGAAACATTAGTACTTAGCACCAAATACTTGATTTTTAAAACTTTTGGATTTCATCCTGGCTTTTTAAATGAAATTCCACAGATAGATGTTTCTACTCATTGAAGTTCAAGGGGGACAGTTTGTTTCTTCATGAAATAAGAGTCTACGGAGGGGAAGCTATGATAAAATGGAAGGAATACCAAACTAAGAATCGAAAGGTCAATGTTCTTCTGCTACTGAAATGTTCAATGATCTTGGACAATATAGTCCGCTTATTTTTAATCTTTTATATCTTTTCAATCTTTTATGACTTTGGCTTCCTAATAGCATTATATCTGAACAAAGTTTTCTGGAGCTAATAGAACAAAAAAGAGAAGGAGGTAGGGAAATCATGGAACAAAATAATTTCTAAAGTTTCTTCTATCTCTGAAATGACATCAAACTGTAGTAACACACAAAGTCCTTGATAATGTGAAAAGTGATGTTATCCAGAGCACTTATGAAACTAACATAAATATTATTATTTTACACCGTAATATGAAAAAGCTTCATTTACGCTGAAGATTTATTTCCAGCAATCTAACAGTGATAAGAGAGAGAAGGTGGACACAAATGTGGACCGATTTGTACGTCTGCTGGTGAGAGCATGCTGGTAATTCCCGGCTAAGGGCTTCTCTTTTTTACTGTAGTTGGAGGTAGCTGACTTTGTGCAACAACTTCTCTGGGCCTCAGTTTCCCCTTTTGCTCACAAGGTAATATGGAAAAACACATTTGAAAGAGGCTAACACCCACTGTAGTGCTCAATAACAGTGTATTTCCATGGGAGAACGGAAAAGAATTGCTTTCTTCAGATTTGAGCTGGTATAGCAGTAGAATAGAAAAGGTTATCCTGGCAGTCTCTGTAGAAGGACCAAGTATTTGAGGGTGAATAGAGTTATCAAAATAAGAAACAAGGATTCTCACAGAAGCATGAGAACGCATACGTACGGGGAATGGCAAAGTGTTTGCTATAGCTAGATGGTGGGTTTTCAGGGGAGAAAGTAAGAGGAAGAGCACTGACCAGATGACTTTTTCCATAATTCACAGTAGAGTTTCAGCCTTGTCTTGTAGACTTGCACCATCCAGCACAGTGGCCACCAGCCACGTGTGATTATTGAGCACTTGGAGTGTGGCTAGTGTGACTGAGAATATTTTTTTATTTTATTTCAGTTTAATTAACTTAAATTTTAAAGTTGAAATGCTGTAAATTTTATTAAACACAACTTGATGTTGTGTCAGGACTCCGTTTTACTTTAAATGCTGAAAATTTAGCATTCTAATTGGTGCAAAGTGTAAAATACACATCAGATATTGAAGACTTCATACAAAAATGTGAAATATTAATGATTTTTAAAGAGATTACATGCTGGCATAATAATGTTTTGCGTATATTGGATTTAATAAAATATATAATTAAAATGAATTTTACCTCATTCTTTTTGTTTTTTTTTAATATGGCTGTTAGAAACTTTAAAATTATATATGCAGCTCTCATTGTTTTTCTATTGGATGACACTGCTGTAGATAATTAAAAGACCTTTTATTCAAGAGAGATATATTTTCAGATTTCTATTTTCCAGAGAATCTTTTGCATTAATATGGAGAATAGATTCAACATTTATGATACAGAAGCAAAACAACCACTTATGAGGCAGTTGTAATTGTTCAGGTGAGAAAAAATAAGGATCTGGACAAAACAAGAAAGAATGAATTTTCAAAAATATATAAATACAACAATACAGCCTGGTGATTAAGTAGGCTAAACAAAGATCCAGTCATATAAGACCAGACCAGAGTTTCTTCAAGGTGGGGATAATAGAGTCTATAGAATGCTACAGAAAACATTACCAAAACTGTTGGCCTGCTGCTATAACTGCCCTCATCACTAGCTTTGTTTGTTACCACTTCCCTAAACCATCATAAAAACTTCTTAACTAGTTTCTCAGTCCTCAATTTTCAACTCCTAGGAAGTTCATCAATGGCCTTCCGTCTGTGAACTCCTAAAGTCATATGCAAAAAATTGTGGATATGGGTATTTATGCAATTGTGTGCATTATTAACCTAAGGTTAGGTGCCATAGCTTTTACCGTATTCTAAAAGGAAGCAATGGCACCTCCCCTGAAAGAAAAAAGAGAGAGAGACTAAAATTACTTTTCTAGGATCCATGTAAATTAAGAAATTCTGGTTAAAGAGAGAAAAGACCTTAATACTCAGCCTTGAAGAAGATCCACATTTATATGAGAACAGAGTAAGTAGAAGTAGGCTAATCCCCAAAATGTAAATAAAAAATAATTGGCAGATTTTTATAGGTTTTTAACATGTATTTGAAAAACGTGGAGTGTGTTTGCTAGCTGGAATTCTTCATGGTTTGAGTGAATGGTTCCCATGAAACTATTTTTTAGATCATGCTCTTTCTTGAATATCTAAGATATTGTATCTGCTAGTGTAGCTGTATCTGAAAGTACAATCTCCATTTTTAAATACCATTTCCTGCCCTGAAGCTGGGAAGTGTCCGGCTGGAACATCTGTGAGATAATCAGCCACTACTCACCAGCTATCTCGATGGCCTGGCGTCCTGGGAGTTGGAGCTCGTCATTTCAGAACAATGCAGAGACTGAGCTGTACCCCCATGGGCAACTGAGAACTTAAATGGATTTCATGTGCAGAGGTAGTATCACTTACCATTGAAGACTTGTAACAGGGACAAGCTTCAGACCTGGGAAAATTCAAAATAACAGAACAGATCTAATCATGACAAGAGCCACGGCCTTGTACCTACAGCCCTATAAAACTATGGATCAGTGAGGATTGACATAATAGACTCATCATAATGTATTCATTGAATAATTAGCATAGACCAAAGAAAAGGTAACACAGTTTTATTCAACATGGCTTTTCCTAACATGCTTGCTCAAGCTTAAGAATCCAAAGGAGCTCTCTGCCATCACATAGGTAAACAACAGATTTTTGGTATAGACTGTCTGGCAGTTTACAGAAGGAGCACAGATTTGTAAAAGAGAGAATGAGATTTTCACAGATTTGTGAAAGAGAAAATGAGATTGAAGTCAGGAGACTTTGGTTTCAGAGCCTCTTCTGTAATCATCAGTTGTGTCCTTTAGACCTTTACTTCTTTATCTTTCCATTAAGGAGATTAGACTAAATGACATTGAATTCCATTCCTTTCCTGACTTTCAATGATTTGATATCAGGACACCCTTAATAACAGAAAAAATGACATTGTGCATGGCTTAGGTCCTTGTTTAACTAGCTTAAAGGTGAGCACTGTACTCCATATTACTTCCAAAACAGGGATTATAGATAATTAAATATCTTGTGTTTAACCATAAATTCAATCCAGTTATTTTTATTCTCAACTGGCATCCAAAGTTGAATTTCTCATCACTAATGCAAGTCATAGCAAGGGAAAAAAATAAACAAATGAATGTACTCTTTTTGCAAATGCTTCAGTATCAGATAACCATAAAAATTTAGTAAATATCTTTATTATTTTCACATGTTCATGTTTTATTTTCAGATAAGACAGAATATATATACATACTTTAATTTATCTCCTACACTTTTAGACAAAATCTTTCTTCAAAATGCTGATTTTTTACAAATTATTTTCATTTGTGTAATCTACATCATAAAATGCAAACTTTTAGTAATAGTAACCACTTTATATTATTATCCTTATGTATATGAAAGGCTTTATGCAAAGTATTATACATATTATATTTCATCTTCACAACTAGTAGGTATCATTTCCTTCATGTAACATATGAGAAAAGTTAAATATTAAGTAAGTAGCCTGAGGTTAGAGAGCAGATAAATTGCATAACCAGGATTTGAGCAAAAGTCTGTCTGATTCCTGTCTCCCATGACTTTCTCATTTCACAACCCCTCTTCTACTTTACTGACTCTGTGTTCTCATCTGCCATTTCTATACAACATTAAGCATTGCACATAATCTGAGTCTTATCTCTAGGTTTTGGAATAAGAAGTCCCTTCATGAGCTTTGAACAAACCTTTGCACCTTTTTTTAATTATGTAAATATTGACTTTTGTCAAAAAAACGCTTATATCTACCATTATTTGAAATTGTTCATTTTTTACATAACTAAGAAATCTGAAAAGAAAACTGGAGAATTTGAAATCTCCCAATGAGCCCTTTTACCATACTGGTAACCAAAGATCATTCAACTTCTGCTTGAATCCTTTCAGCCACAGAAGATCAATAGTTTAAAAGTAACTCATTCCACTAAGATGGATTTCTAGATTTTTAGAAGATGCACCTATGCAATAAATATATAAATTTGTGACTCCAAAGCTTTTAGTCTAGTCTTCTCACCTAAACATTAGAACTATATATTCAGACACCAACTAACATATATCTATATATGCTTAAATTGTCCAGAATTAAATTAAAATCCAATATACTTAAAAGAAATCACATCCTTTTCTTCTCCAGCCTGCTCAGGAAATGTTTTCTATTTCAGTAAATGATACCATCATCCACCCAGTTTCTCTAGACAGAAATGTTGAAGTCCTCTTTTACTTCTTACCCAACACTCCCCTCAAAATGCTAAGTCTTTTTGATTCTACCAACTAAGTACCCTTTAATTCTGTCTTCTTTTCATTCTCACTAACATCAACATCTTATTGCTAGTTTTCTTCAACTGTCTCTTAATTGATTTCCTTCCAGCTATTGATAAACTTTCAGCATATAAATGTAAACCAAATAGATTAAAACCTTGAAGCCAGAGGTTACTGTAACCAGGCTAGAACCTAGACCACTTAAGACCTCGTTCCAAAATTATACAAAACCTTCCTCAGGTCACGTGAAGTCAGAACTGGGATTCTAAGTGATAACAAATGCTTAGGACTAATAAACTGAGCAGACCTTCCAGAAGCAAGACTGTTCCACTTGGATAGAGAGAGATCCCAGAGACCTTGGACAATACAGAGTAGAAGTGGAAGACTTCTAGAAAAAAAAAAAAAAATTCAATCTCCTTTTTAGAAAAGTAATGAAGCCTTGAGTATTTTAATAATAATGTTATATAGCAATTATTATATCTTTAATTAGTGAACCAGGGCAAATTATTTAGATTAAAATTACTATTATTTTTATTATGTCTGGATAACTAAAGTTATCATATTTACTACAACAGCCTACCTTCAGGTTGTTGATAATCTGATAAAAATAAACTGTTTTTAAGACCCACGGAAAGATTTTGGACAAACCAATCTCTAATCAATACACCTTCATTGGTTCCTTTATATTTCTCTTATGTAATATTGTTTATTCTCATCTAAAATATACTAACTCACTAAACATAAATTCTAATGCCCTACTATTATGTAGTCGACTATAATTTAAAGGTGACAACACCAAAATCATGTTATCACTTTCTTAAAAAATTTAAATATTAACTTCTGAGCCAGAGATTTGACAGAAAGTAAAACAACCAAGAAATATATGAGGAAAGCAAGAAAAATATAGAGGTATATGTAATATGACTCTTTGAGAATTTTTCAATAAAATAAAAATAATGACAAACCAGTCTACTTGTGTATGGTTATTAAATAAGAGAAATAGCATTACTTCTAGCCTAAATATACTTGAAATCTCCGATCCTATATAATTTTTCAGTTCTGGTTTTTCTCCCAAGAAAGCATATTCTTCTATTTATCTCCTTTCAATAAGATTAATCAACTATCACTACACAATTTTGCAGCTGTATTTTTTTAAAGTCCATTAATTTTAACTGAAATAAAAATAACTACGAGTCAATCTGTTTTCATCAGTGCCAATGTCCCTCATCCCCATCGTTACCAGAATAAGTCTTTATAACTAAGAACGTGGCAGAGGTGGTAGAGAGGATATTTTCTCAAGTATTTAGAAACTTATGTTAAAGCACCTGCTGAAAATCAACTATTCCCAAAGGGCACTGCATTGTACAACTTCAGAGGGCACCACTCATAAAGAATAGTCCTGAGAGGGTTCCAAACACACCACTCTTTCCTGTAATATCTTCTCTGCAAATTTCTGAGGAAGAATTACTACAATTGACTTTTCTGTCTCACCCACAGATCAATGTCCTTGGAGGAAGAGGGCATGTCTTTATCTTTGTATTATCATTGTCTAGTACAGTGGCTGACACAGAGTTTATGAACAAAGATTGTTCTTTGAACTGAACCAAACTTCTGTCTGTATTTCAAAGCATCAACCAGGGAGCTAGAATCTAGCTATCACCAACATTTTTTTGTGTCATAAAATTGACTTTGACCTAAAGCACAACTTTAGGAGGTAAATACATAGAACTTAGACAAAGGAAGAGAACAGTTGACAAATCTTCTAGAACAAGAAATCAACTCTGGGAAGAGAATGCAAGTGGCTTGAGCCAAAACTCCTTCATATTTATAATAAAACACAGTCACTCTCCATTTTAGTCAACTATTCCTTAGTCATTTAGCTCTCACATCAAATTTGCACATCAGTTTACCATATAGCTTTACTTTTTCAGCTCTGATTGTCTTAATTTTTTTTCAGTTTTAGTTACCAATTTATCAGCAACACACATATGACAATTCTTTCACTCCTCCATTGCTAAAACTCAGGAAGTGTTTCCAATTGCTAGCACTTCTCCAACATCTTGTGATGAAAAATATCATGATAGGCTCCATATAGTAATTCTGGAGAAAGAAATTGTCACCCTAATTTCTGACTTGATTTGTAAAGGGGCTTTGGGGTTAAAAAATAGGGAGTATTGGTTCATTGAAATATTTATGTTTACTACCATAATTTCATAGTTTTACATCTTTCATCTTCCACCCCTGTCCCCACAAGTGAAAAAAAAAAAAATTTCATCCATTTATGTTTTCCAAATGCAATTTTAAGAAGCAACCAAAACACATTTTAGAGAGTATTGTTTTTTTCTCCTGAGGTTGAGGGGACAAAGTGGATTCCTAAAGAATATAAGGTTTCAAGATTCTAACTATGGCACTATGATGCCAGAACAGTAAGAGATTGAGATGCATTTGTTGGTAGCCACACTTTGACAAGCAGTCCAAGTTAAAGAGGGCAAGAATATATGAGTTTCATGTCGTTAGGAACAGTCAGTTGAAAAGTTCACTTTAAACTCTCTGTAGTCCCAACAGAGGAGGTAGCCTGCCAATCACCCATATGATTAAGAAAAAATCATATTCAACAAACCAGGGGAGATACAGCTAAATGTTCCGAGTTAAAAAATCTTTAAGAAATCCCCAGAAATGCTCTATGAAAATGTTACCATTAAATATCCATCAACCCTAGAAAACACAAATGTCAGATCATAGCAGTACCTGTCAACTAGGAACAGCCTGCCCCTTACCTCTCTTTGCCTCCAACTTCAACCTCAGAGGAGTTAGAAGGCAGCTAAGGATGAAATGGGGAAGTGGATTGAAGGAGAAATACGAAGTGGAGAAATAGAAAAGTCAACCATAACTCTCTATCCACTGCAGGTGTCCTGCCTGAAGCAAGGCAGGTCTTGGGCAGGGTAAGTACTAACCTTAGGAGCAGTTCACAGCGTTGAGTTTTAGATGTGTCTGAACATTTACTGACTGTGTTTTTGTCGAGAATTTACTGCCTTTTTATGATCAGAAAATCACCAAAAAAGTAATTGAACATGTCCTAAATTTCACTCAAGATGCATAGAAGAATTTGCCCCACTGAGC